GTGTGCTCTTTCGATGTGGTATAATGATTGTGGACTAAATGTTTGAATTTTTTATTTTTTTATTTTTTAAAGAGTTTTAATAGATTGCCTTAATTCGCAAGTTAATTCTTACTATAATAATCACTTTATCAAAATTGTCTCTCGGAGCTCGGTACAGAAATAGCTCTGTGTCGATATGTTGTGATGGTGGTGGTTGTTCCACAGTATTGGCTCGTCAATTTTAGGAAATTTGTATAATAGGTTATTAAATTTGTTTAATAGGTTATTGGATTAACTCTCTCGTTAATCCAATAACCTATTAAATTAATTATATATATTGTTCTTATTGTGAATTTCCTTACAATTTCATGCAGTCTTAGTACTTTGTAAATTAGTACAGCTGTAAAATTTATAAGATTTAAAAAGTATAAAATTACAATACTTACAAATGGTATTAAATTATAATTTATAATTTATAAGAGAAATAGTATTACCTGTTGCGAAAAATATTTTGTTTGTATTTTATGAATTATTTCTATTACTTAAGGCGTAATTATTACGCGTAATAAAAATTACACATGTATTTTAATACATAATGCAACAGTGAATTGTAACGAAATATAAATACCAAAATTGAATTGTGTATTCTTACGTCTCGATGCGCTTTACTCTTTGCTGCGCTATCCATGATTTCGCTTCACATGAAATGCTTTCTCGCTACAATAAAAGTCTATTATGTATTGACTACCGATAGGAATTTTCGACCAAATTTGAATCGTTCCTTGGTGAATCGCGTAATAATCGTGTTTACGATTTCACTCATTTTTTCTGTCACTATTTGATACAACGAGACTTTTATTGGATCAGCGAACATCCTAGCGCACATTTCGGCAATATCCTTTTTAATTTGTTGACGTAATGTTTCGTCATCGGATGTTTCGTTAGATGGTACCAATATTAAAATATTAGGTTTAATTTGAGAGTAATTATCTGGTTGTGATGAGTTCCAACAAATTTGCCTGGATTCATCTTTATCGTTTGGAAGATTTTTATTATCATCTGCCAACTCTGTTTCTATAATAAAAAATTTAAAAATGTTGCAGAAAACTGTTTTAATTATTATGATTATTATAATTTAAAATTAATATTTGAGCCCTCTTTAAATATATTTCTTTCTTAACATACAGAAATTCTCAAAAATCATACAATTTTAAGAAAACGCCAACACGGGTTTTTGCATCTTAATTGTTTGTATGTCCATACATGCACTCCACAATCGATTCTGATACTTAATTATTTATATAATTTTTTTAGGAAAAGATATACATTTTATTACAAAAAGAAATACATGACGCATTTACAATCAAAATTCATCGCATTAATTAAAGAAATACAAGCGTTAGCAGTTAGAGCGTATACAGTTAATTCCTACACATTTCTCGTGTAACGTAAGCGTAGTCAAGCGCATTACAAATTTAAATGTATGTAATATATATTAAGTGTATATATTAACTCAAGAAGCTTTCTTCCAAAGATAAACTTCCGAAAACGACATACCTTCGATTTGACCAATGAAACTTTGTCAAAAGCTTTACATTTTCAGGGTTGGCAAAAACCCAAATTTTTGGGGTTTTTGCGGATTTTTGTGGTTTTGTGGGTTTTTTTAGTACAGCCATTTATTGTTTTAAAAGCGTAGTATATCTGTTCAACAAAATCCTAACTTGAAAAAGTCTTCTAATGTAGATACTACCAAGATTTAGGACGTGTTAGTTTTTCAACTAAATCAGGCTGGTGTTTCAGTTTCTAGCTAGTTTAGCTTTTTATCTAGTCTATCTGACTGTGCTATTACAATTATAAAGTGTAATATTACCTATATTTTTTTCTGGACTGATAGTTATAGTATTCAGTTATTTATATTACATAATTTATATACGTATTATAAGTTCTTAAATTGATAATTAAGTATATGTTGCTATTTTATTGAATAGTTTTATTTAAAGATGCGAAGGTATATATATATATATATTACATCTATCTGGATTTTTGTAATTTGTACTTGGGTTTTTGTATTTGAGTTTTTGTACAAAAACCCACTGGGTTTTTGTAAACTGGATTTTTCTGTGCCAATCCTGTAATTCATGAATCATGATTACATCATCTAAAATTGTCACGGCACGGAACGTATCTAACTGTAATTGCTAATGTAAAACGATGTATTAACTTACTATTTATAAATAAAATATATTTTGAAAACACATCTTTATTAATATTGAAAATTTGTAAAAAGTACAGATTTATATTTTTGCGCATACACCTCTTTGTAATGAGCAATACGACAGCTTATTGACTTTGATCGAACCTTTCCTATATCATGGAAGCGAGCCAGATATTACATACACTGCATACACATACGTATTGGCTTCCTAAATTCTTTGAAAGATTAATTGCTAAACTCCATTTCGACTCGGCAATTAAACATATGAGGATCAAATAATAAATTAATAATTATACGCCGTTAATAAATAACAAGATTAAATGCTACATGTCAGATATATGCCCAAAAAATTCCATCATGTTCTCTCCCCCAAAGATGAACGCGAAACTCGGGGAAAGAGAGATATGAAAAAAGATAAATAAAACAAATAAATCAAAAAAGATAAGAAATATATAAGGGAGCAGAAGGAACAAGAGGTATGTATGTACGTGTACCTGCGTGTATGTACCACGTAGACGAATTTCTCGGTTGGCGATTTGTCTACAACTATTTTTTTTTCTTTTTTTCTGTGTGACGTACCTTCGTTTAATTACGTGTCCAAATTACAATTAAATGTTACAGTACGCGCATCGATGACAACGCACTAGGATTACAACTCAATTCGTTCGAGATTAGAGATAAACATATATTTATGTGTATGTTGTTTCTCTGTGGATACGCGACACATTGACGAGTTCTCTGTTTCCAGGGAAATCCGATCAAATTTAGAGGAGTAATAATTAGATATTATTTGCATTTTACACAGGATTAGTAATATCATATATTTTCTGAACATTTCAAACTCAGAAAACGTGTAAAGACACAAAAAATTAATTATCACGTATATACTTGTCATCGACAGTCAAGGAATTATGCGAATATATTCCAATGTGATTAATAGTAAAGCCGGGAGCACAGGCTTTTGCATAACGCATAAAATATCAGAGAATCAATCAATCAGAGCATAAAATAAAGAACTCTAATGAGTTGATTCTCTTATGTCTTATGCGTTATGCAAAAGTTTGTGCTTCCGGCTTAAGACACTGAAAAGTGCTTATTGTTAAAGAGGCTTTCTCGTTTAATTGTTTAAAAATGGGCACTGAAAAGTACCGATTAAAATATTAGTACTAAAAAGTACTTATTGCTGATCAGAGAAATTCCAGTTTGAACATTTAAAAATGGGCACTGAAAAGTGCCGATTTTTCCTCCCTCTTCGAGAAGAGTTTACTATGTGTGTGTGTGTATGTGTGTGTGTGTGTGCGTGCGTGTGTGTGTGATATCTAGCTGTAGCATCCTTTCTCCTGGACAGTGACATCCTTCGTCTCCCGGACTGGCTCTTCTCCTTTTCACAATACAGTGTAAGCCCTCTTTGGATACTTCATAAATTAGCTTAAATTTCAAGATATAATCTACGGTTTTATGTGTCGTATTTTTTTTAAGTATATAAATTTTATATATTTTGATTTCCTTAAATGTTTAACACGTAAAAAATAGGTAGATAATGACACGATTCTACTGTATTCTATTTGTATTTGATAATATTGTTTTTTTATTTTGCATTTTGAATTACATATTCCAGGTAATCAATTAGAGTGGACTTTAACGAATGACGAAGCACATTTCGCCGTATTATAATAGCTAACGAGCAAGATAATTGTCCGACAAAAGTACACGTGTTTCGTGAAATTTAATCATTTAATCCCGATAATGATAAATTCTCATAAAATATCCGGTACAAATCAGACTGCTTATTATCTGCTCTTATTTTCGTTACATCTAGTTATATAATACAAATACAAACCTCGATAATTTCGTGAATATGAACGCGAGATAGTTATAGAAAGAGCTTGAGACAATAAAAAAATATCTTATAATCAGCTCGCAGAAATATCCCGTATGGAAATTATAGATAACATATATAATACTTGAGATCATATGAAACAGCGATCGCTTTTCGTACTTCAAAAGATAGGGTAACTGTCCCTAATAGTGTGCTTTTATATTTAAATAAGTCATAAAAATAAAAAGTTGAAGTATTAACTTAATAAAATAAAATACTTTGTCTATTTATTTGTACCAATTTATTTTTATGACTTATTTAAATATAAATTAAGCACACTAATAGAGACAGTTACCTTAAACAATTTTCGAAAATGAAACGATAATCGTATTATTGATAATTACGCGGGATTAATGTACAACGATGTTTGCGTAATCGTTATTGCGTTACACCGTTCGTTTATGCTGGATCGCCTCGTGCCTTTGCGATTGTAGATCGTTCTCTTATTTTTTGCACTTCGATAAAATTTATTATTAATTATTATTGTGTGTATGTGTGTGTGTGTGTGTGTGTGTGTGTGTATACGCGCGTGTGCGTGTGTGTGATATCTAGCTGTGGCATCCTTTCTCCTGGACAGTGACATCCTTCGTCTCCCGGACTGGCTCTCCTCGTGTGACTTCTGCGATATTCTGTAAGTATTATAGAAAATTGAGAAAAATAAAGATCATAGAAAATAAATTGTATAATTGTAATATGTTTTTATATTTCTTAAACTCAGTTGCATATCAACATTATTTTAGGTTTAAGCGAAATTTAAAACTTTAAATTTATCAAGGCAAGAGTAACCCCTATAGTACTTTAATTCGTGCTTCTCTTTGTGATAAAAGCACAAATTGAAGCACTTTATGGGAGTTACTTTTGCTTTTATACAACAACATTAAAGTTTTAAATTTCACACTTAAAGCCAAAATTAAGTTGGCAAAATCAATCTGTATAAAAAAAGTTGCTACATACCTTATATCTGTTCGTCTATTTCTTGCATCTGCAGTTGTTATAACTCCTCTTCTGCCTCCTCTACGTACTCATCGTTCCATAAATCGCGCTGGATTCTTGGACCGGCTGCCATTCTTTGTTGTTTACGTTCTTTGTGTCTGTATCGCTCTTTCGCTGCTCGAAGAGCGTCCCGCATATGGACTTGGAACTCTGAACGTTGAGGCCTTTGGAAATGCTGATTACGGCACACAGCACCTAAAAATCACAAAATATCGTAACAAGCACTGAAAAAATATGCTAAATGCTAAAGGTACAGAATGTTTGTAAAACAAAATATAGCAGTAAATTGCCATTATTGCGAAATAATTATTTCTACATTTTACTTTGCAAACATTCTATTAACAATGATTCATATTCAGATAGTGCCACATAATTATTTCCTTAAAGTTGTCCTATCAGGATTTAAATCTAAGGAATACTAAGACACATGAATCCGTATGTACAGAAAATGAGATGCCTACTGTAAATTGCCTTCGTCAAACGAGCATTGTATAATGGTTCTTGATTCTCTTCGCGGCCCCACCAGGTTAAGGATGGCGTGAATGAGTCCTGGAGGCTCTCCTTGAGACATAAGTTTATTGCTTCCTTCAAATTGAATCCGCCGATGTAATGAAAATAATTAATCTAAACAAAATAAGACAGATATGACATCTCTGGTACATACATACAATATATAAGGAAAAAAATAAAGAAAATGTTCCATTATTTTTTTCTACTTACAACGTTGGAGTAAGCCTCTTCATCAAGATTTTCAAACGCACGCATTCCTGCTACTGATGATATAGGAAGAATAGTCGGCTTGAACGATGTTGAAGTGTGGCTAATCTGCACGCACTTGAAGATATTCTCCATAAGAGTATTCATTTTCCTGCGAAGAAAAGGTAAAAACAAATCGGTTTTATAAATATTATTCTATTAATAAATTAATTATTATTTATTAATTGTCATACTCACTTGAGTTGTGCCTCAATACGATCTAAACGATGATCCCTCACTTCCCTATGCACAAAAATAGCTTTTTTATAAATTACTTTTTATATTATTGTACAGAAATATATTATATATGTATATGTGTAACAAATATAAATACCGATTATTCTCCTCCGTCTGTCTTGTATAAGCACACTGGCAATAAGGTAGTCGCTCTTCATATTGCACATGAGATTGACTCTGCACATCACCAGCTTGCATTGGCCTATTCTGAAATTGTGAAATGTTCTGTAATAGTATAATTATTATTAGTATTATACAAGTCGTTCTTATATGATATGAAGGGTGATTACAGTATTTTGGATATGTGTTTCTTGTGATGAACTTGCGTATTCTGTCGGATTAGCAGAGGTTGAAATGTTTGTATGTGTAGGAGTGTAAGAATGTGGTGATAAATATTGTATTGAATTATTTACAATTAAATTATTATCGTTTATGTTTGTGTCCTTCTCCTCTTTAATAAGGACACTCTTTATATCTCCAATATCATCTTCGATCCTGCCAGTAGTGATGTGTGATGCAGTTGCTGTCTTCTTCCGTTCTGGAGCTTTGTCTGAAGAAGTGGCCTGATAACGCTTGGTAACTTTACGCCTTGGGCGATCTTCCATCTGATGTAAGTGAAAATATATGTTTCTCTATATTAATTGATGACAATATAATTTTATAATAAGTCTGTTCTTTTTGGCTGAATTTGCTGCATTATTTTTATGACTTATTTAAATATAAATTAAGTACACTAATAGAGACAGTTACCCTAAACAGTTTTCGAAAATAAAACGACAATCCTGTTATTAATAATCGGGGGATTAATGTACAACGATGTTTGTACACGATGTTTGCGTAATCGTCATTGCGTCATACCGTTTGTTTATGCTGGATCGCATCGTGCCTTTGCGATTGTAGATCGTTCTCTTATTTTTTGCACTTCGATAAAATTTATTATTAATTATTATTGCACTCTTCGTGAATTTGTTAGCAATCGGTAGGCGCATCGTCAACATTTTGCTTATTAATTGGGATCCTGACAATTAACTTTCTGTTCTCTCGCGATCCATTAATTCGTGCGAATTCGAAATGCCGCGCGATGTGAGGACTTAATTATACTATATCAAAAAGAAAGGCAGAAAGTCGAACAATCTGATAAAACTAACGGATTTCGCATAAAATGAAGCTTTTCTCATGGAAGGAAAAATTCCATCTTACGCGAACTTTGTTCGTATTACGAAATATGACTTATACTTTAACCATTGACGATCGACGCATAAATATGATGATTACGCCGAAGGAAAAAAAACTGCGAAAAAAGGTGTGCAAGTTGATTTATTCGTCGGATCGAGAGTTAATTTTTCATCGCGATTTTCTGTTTAAATTTCCTTCGCTCGCCTCGAGCAGAAACGAGTTTTGCGTATTCCGCCGCCGACTTCGCTGATCGTGAGTTTCAGGATCTCAGGATCCCGATCATCTCGCAGTTATCTAGACTGAGAAACAGTTGCGGGAAAAGAGCCTGACGATCGTCGAACGGAAAGCGTTTGCGTGTTAAAACGCGCACGCGAGAAGAGCATTCGCGGATTCTTAAACTCCGGACGGGGAGTGTACGACGTCTCTTATCGCAAAGCAGGACTTCGAATCAAACGAAGATGTTGAAGAATTTAATCATTTATGAATAAAAATATGCTTCCTTTGTTAGCTCCCCGGTATAACTGGCATAATATAATATAGATATATACCTTTTATCTCGCGCACAGCTTTAATTTGTGAAGTATCGACCTTGATAATAAGGTGCTAAAATTGTCAAATCGCAACTGTAACGGTAAAAGTACATATAAATATTACTCGCGATATAAGCACTTTAGGTGCCGTGACTAGGATAAGATAACGTAAACAATTGCCAGTAGTTATCCCTTTGCTGCGGCTTCTTGGTCTCGGCGATACCCGCAGCGCATCCGTACGTCCCGCGCGAGCAACACATTCGCTGAAAACGTCGATAATTACGGATCGCAAGAATATTACCAGAGAGAAGTGTGAGAGAGGCCACGGCTTTTTGGGTGAACCCAACGATTCTCCTCCGTACTAGTGCCCCACGTCCACATTTTCAAAAAAGAAACTACGTACCACGTATAACATTGTCGATCAAATCATAGCATTAGAATTACGTGGTCCGTGCTAATCGTGTCTTATATGTATATGCCACATCCTTCTTTCTTTTACTTTCTATCTCTCGCAAAACTTTATATTACATAAATTAATTATATATTTTTTTTAAATTAAAGATTTTAATACAAGTACATATTAAATGTTATTATGTTAAAGCTGATATCGTATACAAAGTATCGTCGTAATTAATATGCGACCACTTTCCGGATATCGCAAAAGTTGTAATTAATTAATAATAAGATTGTTAAATATCTGGCGCCTACTTTTAAACGATAGCGTTTCGGAGCTCGCGATCGTCTTTGTCAATTAAATAGAAGACAGTAAAATTTCCGCGCCCATTTAAACTACCAAATTCCGAATATCGCGAACGTTGTAATTAATTAATCATAAAATTGTTAAATATCTCGTGCCTATATTTAAACGATAGCGTTTTCGGGGATTTTTATATATGTTTATACTTTTATAAAAATATATAATTATATATAATTATACATAATTATACATAATTATATACAAAATAGGTCCATACATATCCATATATGTTTCTTTTTTTTTTTGTAAAATTATTGTTTGATAAGGTGGATGTAGCACGGACACGCACCACAAATTGTATATCCGCGGTGCAGAAAAGTGAATGTTGCTATGTAGTTTGCATCCACGTCTTCAGGTGGCGTGAGGCGTTATTGCATATGGCGTTCTCACTAATCTCACTTCGTGCGACGTTTTGCCCGGCGCCCGGCGTCGCATGACTCATGAGTTCGTCGTAGTACTCGTGGTTGTTCATCGCGATCGTCGCGGATGCCGGTGAATGGAGGTTAGATTAGGTTAACTCCTGGTGTTCAATTTGCGGCCGACGGACACGATGGAGAATCAGAACTTACCGCCTATCAAGAGCAACAATCCCGCTCCCACGGTGGAGCAGATCAACGCGGACAGGATCACCCAGGTATTCACTCCCGATTATTCGCTCAAGTTTACAAATCGTTAAAGATGCCGTATCCCCAATATTGTGGTCAGACAAATCTACCAATTTCTGCTGTCATTCTGTCATATTTTAATTTATCATGCCCCGAAATGTCGTAGCCAGTCGAATATTCCATTTAATTCTTGCCGTCATTTTTGCGTATCCGGAATATCCTCGTGTGATCACATCGCGATTCCGTTGTGTTGCAGCTCGCGAATAAATACTGGGCCCCGCACACGACGAACAAGCATCTGCCGTTCGATCCCCAGGTGGTGGACGACATTTACGTGCAGGAGATATGCGCGTCCAAGTTCTCCGTCCGGCGGATCATGATGCTGGAGTTCAGCCAGTACCTGGAGAACTTCCTCTGGCCGAACTACAGCGCGGAGAGCGCCACGCGGGCGCACACCATGTCCATCGTCGTCATGGTGAACGAGAAGTTCCGGGAGCGGGTGCAGGTCTGGGAGGCGTTCGAGAAGAATCCGACGCAGTTCGCCGGCTTCTTCCAGAAGGTCCTCGAGGCGTGCCTGGAGGAGTGTATAATGGACTTCAATCTGAAGGAGCAGACGGCGTTGATAGTGTTCCTGAATCACTGCTTCAACTCCATGGAGGTGTCCCTGGTGCGGGAGGAGGCCAAGAGGCTGGTGTCCCTGTCCATGTGGATCTCCCTGCAGCAGGGCAGGCGGGAGCTCGAGTTTAGAAAGTATCCGAAATGGCGGAAGTATTGGAAGATCATAAGGAAGAAGGACAGGCCCGATCATAGGGAGAAACACGAGTGGGAACGCAAGTTCTTGCACAAGCTCATGATAAAATTCATGACGATACTGGAGACGATTTCTGCCGAAGGTATTCACGCCCGTCTTTATACGTATTTCAATTGAATTTCACCTGCGTCATCTTTTTAAAAAACTAGATTTCCTGACACTTAGTCAGAAATTTTAATAAATTTCATGAGCAGTAAAATGAAACGCTTTGAAACAATTTATTTTCAATTATTAACAACTTTGATTTCACTTTTAATAGGACCTGTGCTTCCGGACAAAGTGCGTTATTGCGAGAGATTTCTGGAGCTGGTCATCGACCTCGAGGCTTTACTTCCCACTAGACGTTTCTTCAATACTGTCATGGATGACAATCACCTGGTGGTGCGCTGCCAGTTATCGAATCTGCTGCATCGGCCAGAGGGAAGTCTGTTCGGACAGGTAAGTCGTCACAAAATATTTGTATAAATGGGGAAGGTGAAATAATTCAGTTTGCGAATATTCATTTATCGAATATTTAATATCTCTCTCGTACAAAAAATCGATTTCCTATATAGATATAAATAATATTAAACACTAATACGATTAAAAGTATAAGATTATTTGAGACTCGGTGACACATATGTTTTCGTCATACTGTGCAACACGCCCGCTAGCAAACTCTTTGCCCGTTAAATTAAGCGATATTGCATAATACAATCGATTTTATATTTAGATTAAAAATCTAAGTCAGTACACTTGTGGCGACATGATATGAACATATGGATAAATGCAAGATGCCTAGACGTGTCGAAGTCGTGAAGTGACAGAAATGTCTCGATAAGCGTACGTTTTTACAAGGCAAGAGATTGAATTTCGTTTTTAAGGCACGCGTTAATCACCAAAACGTGGAATACGAAAGACGTACGCAATTTTACCGGTGCCTTTGTTCATCGGCTCGAGCATCCGAATTCGAAGTCATATATTTTATATTTGTATACGATATTTTACAATTTTTTTTTTTCAAGGTCTTATAAAATTTTTCAATACCCTGCCGACTTTTCCGAATTCATTCATATTTAACTTGCACATTAACTCGATTATTGCATCATTATTTACAATATATTGCCGTATTTTCCGACGTATTGTCTTTGACGTATCTTCCTTTACATATTCTTTTCTTGCATGTTTCGCGTTTACTTGTCTAAAGTGACGCTGCTACGCGCATAATACTGAAATAGAGACACATCCACGCATTTTTCACACTCTATAAAGAATAACTTTTGGTTTCAATATACATATGCGCATATATCTATGATGTATATATATCTGGCAAAATTTGCGCGCGAAAGGCTATATGAGCTATGACTCTGAGATTGCGATCGTGCGATTATACACCAAAGTATATTCTCAATATCGAATATACTTGCACTTCGACGAATATGCGGACGAGGTGTACGGAATGCTTCTCACGTTTCGCACGCGTATCGTATTCGCATTCTTCCAACATTCTGCGAGCGATGTGCGTTACAAATTGTGATTTACTCGCGCGCCATCGTCATCGCCCGATCACTACTCGAATATACAGATCACGCTCGCGTAACGCGAATAATCGTTCATAAGGGATATAAGCGCGGCACTTTAATAACCCGCGTTGATGGCTGTCATCTCCTCGCCCCAGTCGAGGCCCTCGGTGTTGTCGCCGGAGTCGCAGCAGTTGCACGTTTTCCCGAGCAGGAACGTGACCCTACGCTGGCCGAACACGCACACGTAGAGGACGAGCAGCGCCTGCAGCAGATTCACGACGATATGGCAGTACATCAGGGCGTCGTACTTGAGCCGCGAGAGCAGCAGCGAGAGCCAGCCGGCGCTCATGATCGCGTAGAGAAAGACAAACATTCGGAAGCTGTACTTCATCTTGTGATGGATACGGCCGTACGTGCTCATCCGCTTGATCCGGTTGGCGGTCGTCAGTATCAGGCATAGATTGACCACGATGGTGAACGCGATGCACATGAACATCACGGAGAGCCCGAGCCAGCCCACGGTCTCCTGGGCGGGATAGACCGTGCCGCCGACGGTGGGCTTGTCCGTCTCGAGGGCGAAGTGCGCGAAGATCGCCGTGCCGGCTATGCAGACCGTCAGGCACCAGACCCAGGACGAGTAGTAGCAGTACTTCCTGCCGTCGGTCACCCGCAGGAAAACGTTGCGCGACCTGAACGTGTTCCACACGTAGTAGCCCAGGGCGCTGAGCCAGAAGAAGGCGGCCGTCAGGAAAACGTACATGACCGTGTCTGGAAAAAGCACAAAAGAAAGCGAAAATGATTTCACCGTTGTATTTCCTGCCGCACGTCCGGCACTGGAAATTTCTCCTGCAATTTGCTTTCGGAGCAGAAGGCCGTTCGAGCGGTCGCGCTTATTAATTGGTCCTTCCGTCACGCGCTCGCGCTAAAATATGACTCATTCGAGTCTCCTCGTGCCGCTCGGCTTCGCGTGTCTCGCAGATGGTGCTAATGCACTTGAGATGAGAAGGATATGACCGCAAATTTTCGCGTTGTCTCGGGGCATGCCGACGAGGAGAAGATAACCTGCGGTAATTCTTCAAATGACTTATATCAAGTGTCTCTCAACATTATAGTATACGATGAGTGTACGATGCCAGTAACGGTGCTGCATTGCTCTTAAATTTTTCTCTGATAAGTTTAATAAATTTCAATTATCTAAATATTTCTTTCTACAGACGGAACGCATTATTTAATCAGAGAATTTAATGGAGCGTCGTTAAAATGATACGCCAGAGATAATCAGATACCGACACGCCGGTTTCGTCATTGGAAGTCACTACTGAGAATCATTTGCATCTCCCCGCTCCAAAAGGACATCTTGAGGCGCGTCGTGTCGTGGAGTCGCGCGTGACTCAGCCACACGAAGAAAATCGAACGACATTGTCATTCTATCGCGCTAAGCGAGAGCGACCTTTATTCACGTACCAGCGACCAAGAAGCTGATGTGATTGCCGAACTCTGTGAATATCCTGACGGTGGAGGCGCACTGGTTGACCACGAGGCAGAGAGTCATGCTGGTGATGATGTTGCCGACGAGGTCGCGCAGCTGCGGCAGCACGAAGTAGACCACCGCGACGATCAGATAACAGGCCATCGACACGGCGTGGAAGGCGGGATCGATCGCGTGCTTCATCAGGTAGTTGGTGTCGGTCCAGCGCACGGCAACGTCCGGCACGCAAACCATGGCGTACATCGCCACCAGCCGATCTCCTGTGAGCACCACCTTGTCGGCGCAATAATGCCCGAACGGATAGTCGTAGTGTATGGTCGTGCGTCCCTCCTCGTCGTCGTCGTCGTCGTCATCGAGATTCAGCATCGCGACGCCGTAGACGCCGCGATTCTCGTCCATACTCTTGGCCAGATCGACAATGTAGTGGCGCAGCACGCCGGTCGGCAGGATCGCCAGGCGATCCGGCCCGGACGGATAGTAGTACACGTGCCACTGATGCTCGTCGGAGTCGCATCTGGGCCGTCCGATCTTCAGCTCGTACCTGGGCTCGACGAATCCCGTTCTCCTCGTCGAGAAGGCCGCGCCGCTGCCTCGCTCCGTCACAAACTCCGGTCGCCACTTGGTCTCGTTGGTCTCGGCCAACGGCGTGCACCGATCGTCCACCAGCAGCTCCTCGGGCTCGCAACACTTGCCGATGCTCACCGTCGCGTCGGGGCCGGCTCGCGGTCGCGTCTCGGCGTCGGCGAGCACGCTCCTCGCCTGCCAACCAACGACGAGCAGCAGCAACACGATCCTCGGATACATGACGCCGAAACGCGCGCGGGTTCTCACCTCACGTCCGCATTCGCGGACACGCTCCCTCGCCTCTTCGCCGTCGAGAGGAAAGCCGAGTTGCCGCCACGTCCGTGCGGCCGATCGATCGTTTCGCGATGCGTTCATCCGTGATTCACTCAGCTCATCGTGACGCGTGTCGTGCTTGCTTGCTGCTTCGCCATACCTGGCCTGACCGCCAGTGCCTCCCGTCCCGCAACTGGCTTACCCCTACCTACCCCTGCCAGCGTCCGCCGCCATGACATTATCCGTTCTTCGCCGCACCGTTCCCTGGCCCCTCCGCGTCCCTCGACGACCACAAGCGGGTTTACCTTCGCTCCAGCTGCTCCGAAGACACAACAGCGCGCGCCAGCGCTGCGCTCACACGCGCCTTTGTGCGCGTTTCGTTTTCATTTTCGATGATACATTCCGAACTCTCGATTGTTTTTTAAAAATTCAAAATATTGTGTAAAATTATATTATATTTTGCTATAAAAAAATATTATATTGCTCTTTTTTTTATTCGGATTTTCTATCCGTAATGTATACGGTTTTTCTTGTCATTTTTCTTCATTAGAAATTTATTACAGAGGGATTAATGTGCCATCCCAAAATTTAATAAGATAGTATCTACTCTATTCTATTCCTACGTTTGTTGTGAGATACAGTAATTCAATATTAATATAGAATTATTAAATGAAATATCCTTTTAGACGTATAAATTCTGTGATGATTAATACATAATAATTGGATATACTTACATTATTGTGCGCGTGCTTAAGAGTTAAACGTACATTGTCTATCATCGGTAGGGCAATATTGATAATTTGAACCTCCCATGAAATGTCAAAGGATTATCGATAGTGATCAATAAATAAATGACATGGGAATTTAATTGTCGGACTTATCAAGAAGAAACTGAGACACTTTATTTATTTTCTGATTTATTAATGTAAGCACCGTGTATGAAAAAGAAACTTGTTAATCAGATTGATATTTGTCTTATCAATGATAACTCGGAAAAATTACTCAAAACTTATTTTTTGCAGCAATTCTATCTTACAAGATTATCTTTATCGAAATCGATACTTACTTTTTAGCCTTCGACAATGTAAGTGTACAAAAAGGACGATCTCCCCACCGCGGCACTTTTCTAATCTTATCCAGAATTATCACGAGGTGAATTAGACAAAGTACAAATTACGATAACGGCACGGTATTTTTCCCGAATATTATCGTAGGCATCGGCGTACATAAATATATCTGCGGTATTTGCGCGAATTCGCAAGTCGCGTGTACTCTTCTCGCCGTCTTTTCCTGTTTTCTTCTCCTGTTCCCTCTCGTTGTATTATTCATTTATTCATTCGCCACTTCTTCTTCGAACGTGTCAACATTAAACCGCAATGGCGTGCGTAAAATATGGCACGTGTTCATGTACTTTGAGGAAACACTTTATCGCGCAGTCGGCTGATGCACTTACGTATACATATTCAAAAACCGAGGACGGTCGCGAGCTCGGATGAAAAGATACCTTGAGTTCCCTTGGGGGAACGAGATGTGTTTGTATTGCCGTGTGAGTACCTAAAGATATAAAGTATGCTGGAATACAAATGAAATATAAAATGGAGGATGTAACATCCATTCTCTGAATACTACTGTCATCTATTATTAACATTTATTCTTACTTGACACTTAAAGAAGGCGCGAAATGTTTCTCACGAAATTCTTCGTGGGATTTGTCGATTTAACAATGCTAAAAATAGACGGAGCAATAATGATTTCTTCTGAGAAAGACTAATAGATCCTTCCGGGACTGCCGGGCCCCGGTAATTTGTACTTGGCTACTCCCCTTCTTCGTCGGTCCACTCTCTTTTTCTATACCGACGCTCTCAAGACGGACGTAATGTGCGCTAACATGCTCTATTTACGCTCTCAATGAGTTGTATATGACTGCGGATGCATTGCTTCTTTTCGTACGTTTCGCTGAACAATCGAGTCATTGTAAACTGACACGTCTAGAAAGAGAGAGGAGTAATTGTATCCGTTTTTAAATTTTTTGTACAACCTAAACTCGCTGACTTTTACTTTATAATACAATTATAATTTCTCTCTTGAAACAATTTCAATTCAAAACACTGCAAGTGTTTTTTTCTCACGTGTGAGAATTTCTTCCTGTGTTGAAAACACATGGGAAGAATGCAATTATTGTAATGTTCTTCTCTGCCATTTCGAATCTGTTTAACGATGTATTTCATTAGCGCGATCGTGCTGAAGCTTAGCAAAAATTCCGGGATTAATTTTTATTTTTATGCCCGTCTGTTATTCCTACCGATCACAGTGATGTGTATTTGCAAGCCGCTTATACGAAGAGATAATAACTGCATCCATCTATAGATTTTCTTTATTTACCTTCTCTTTCTTCATTTTTTGTAATTTTTCATCTTTATCCAAATGATCGTTCGATTGTAAGTTTTTTCGTTATTAAATCATTTCGATATAATTATAGAAATGAAGAAAAAAATAGTATAAGTACGAAATTCTCTGACTATGATGGATGCATTTATATCTCGCGTAACAGCATGAATCAGCATTTCAAATATCAGAAAGATATTTACCTTGTTTTTAAAGCAGGAAATTATGAGAGATCTAACAGGAAGATTTAGTGGGAATTCCATTCCATTTGGCTAGAGCTAGGATAGATATTTTTATCACGAAAGAATTGCGTTATTTTATAGATTATAGAACGTTATTATATGTGAAATAATGCATGAAATATATATTTGTACGTTTGTAAAATATTACATGAAATTATTTCGCATCGCGTCTTGCGGGGCCAAATATGATTGCACTCAACGGTATCGTGTGTTTCGGGGCAATCTAATTTGCTTAACAAATTTTGTTTGTGTCGTGGCCTACTGTCCGTTTGTATCAATCATCACAAGCTAGAACGCACTGCGCGAGAGTGTAATCAGATTTGTTATACGCATTACTTGATCCACTTATGACATTGGCAGAATGCATGAACATGATTGCACAGGATACCCCCCGGGCTTGCGGATCATCTTTCGTCCGTGGATTCGATTGTGAAATAGATGTTTCTTTAATTGAGACATCGAGGACATCAATAATTTTTAAGTTTTACGACATTCGTCCTTGACATTTTTTTAATGAATCAGAGGATTAACTTCGAAATTTTAATGAAAGAATTTACAAGCAACGATCCTCTGAATCGATCATCTGGCACGCCTATACAATTTATATTAATAAACGTATGTCGAGGTGGATGACGCGCAACGAAATCAATGGAAGTGGGACAAGCGACGTGTGCTTACAACACTCACATCTAACGCGTGCCCGCGGCGATAATTTTTATGAACCTGTTGCCTAAACTTATGCGCGAATCAGATTTTTATCGACAGATACCCCGAATTGATAAGTGTTATGCTAATGTACCGTGCGTATATTGTCCGCGGGGCTATATTGTCTCGCCACTGGTGAAAGTGTCCGACAGCCTTCGGGCTTGGAGCACATGTGGTTTTTTGCATCGCAACTTTACATTTACTCAACGGTTACGCCTTGATGTTCCAATGTCGGAGATTCGTCAAATTCACAGATTGGATTCGCAATTGCGCAATGTTTTCGTCGCACGCGAGCTATCTCGTGCCGTGTAGATCCGCGCGATACGTCATGCATAGTACTCGCGGTCGGCAGCGGTGGTGGAATGAAAACAACCGAGTGAATGAGTCGGATTTACGCGTTTTCGCAGAAAGTCGTAGGTATAGGTGATGTGGGAACGGGATGGATGACGGACTCGTTGTCGTCACGTTGCCGTGAGTGATTTAAACGAGAAATTGTAACTGAATCACGAGCGTAAAATGATATTGCACACCGATGAGTAATTATCCTTCATAATATTCTTTCCACGAGTTTTGCTCTACACACACACACACACACGTAGTGTGGTTCGGTCCAACATTTACATAATGTTTACGGAGATTCTTATACAGCGCTTAATAATAATAATAATATACTTCATTACGCTATAATATCGTGAAAACAACACGTTTCCACGCGCTGATCGGATATTTAAAACATACATTTGTATTGCTTAACTCGCTATTATAGGCAAATGTCTTTCTTACGGCGCTATATATAAAAGAATAGATGATGATACGTTAACAAGAGATATACTCTAAAGTCTAAAGTAATAATTAGTTTCGGTTAAACTGAATCACGAGTGATAAATGGATTAATATAATTGAGACTATGTTACAACGAGAATATTTGTCCAGGCGAATAAAATCTGCAGCGCTTACAAAGGAGCTGTTTCTGTAGGATCAAATTAATTAAAAGCTCGACAACAGTCGCGATTATCTGCGTCCGATAATAGATAATCAATATTGTACAGATAAATCAATATTGTCTTTTCCCTAGGCGATATTTCTCACATTTAATCCGCGATTGATGATTCTGGAAAAGAAACTGCGAAAGAGGAAAACACGTGTGTTATCCTTGTTGAGACAGCTCGAGCTCCTCGGGCAGCACCGCTTCTTCGCACTCCTCGTCCTCGTACGCGGCCCAGGATTTCGGGAAGGCGATACCGCACGGTCGCTTCTTCGCCAACAGTTTCCGCACCCTTTTCCGCGTCGCGACCAAAAGCAAGAATATGATGAATCCTTGGAGACCGTTCAACAGATCCGTCGGTATCCTAAGACGAGAAATAACGCTCGTGGATCACCTTAACTAGCGAGTGACAGATATTAACGGACAGGCTTTTAAAACGAGGAGGTTTTCGCTTACCAGAACTCGTCCATTCTCGCCCCAATGGCGAATGACAGCAGTTCAAAGATCCACGTGATACCCATGACGAGCACCAATTTGATATACAGCAGACACTTAAATCGCAAGACTCGCAACTTGCTTCCCGTGTAATCGCGATACTGATGCCACAAACGCCAGCTGGTCATCCCGAGATAGGTCATGTTTAATATTAACAAAATAGCGATCGGCCCGTAAAAGTACACCCATGTCTGTGTAGTGCCTGTGAAATAATACGCATGAAATGATATAACATTTCATCTTACATCAGAAGATGTTTCGTGCGAGAAAGATCTTTTAAATCATATTCCAACCAATTACCAAATAGCAGCGAAGTTATCCGCTGAATTTCTCTGTCGTGGATTCTTTCTTTGAGAAAAACTTACCGCTGAACCAACAGCTCAGATCGCCAAAGCCGGGTTGCAAGTGATCTCCCGGCGTAAGATGCGTCGTCAGCGCGGCGATCAGGAAACATATCGGACCGCCCCATCCCCAGACGCAGTAGGCGTAGAAGAGCGATTGATCCTTTACCCTGAAGTTCTTAAACCTGTACGAGTAATTGAATTTTGAAGGCACATGCGACTGTATCTATCTTTTCTTAACAGACGACACTTAATTGTTGCAATTTTGCGGTATGTGCGGTACATCTCAGGCAATTTATTTTTCATTCGTGACGACACTTACCACACGCATCGCCACACGTTGAAGGCCACGATGTTCAGCCAGAAGAACGCGGACATGAAGGCGAAATACAATATAAAACCTGAAATGCAAACGTGTGGATTGGATAATAATAAAAAGTTGGCAGGACATATGAATTGAAGGAACAACAAGAAAAATGACACTATTTTTCACATTCAGCTCTTTAAGGCATTATAAGCTTATCATGTATCCAAGCTTGCGATAAATTTTCTAATGTCACAACAAAACTTAGTCGCATGTATAATTAATGTATACCGAGTGCAACGCAGATGACTATGTCGTCGGTCTCGTTCGGCCATAAGTGCTGAATGGAGAGAACGGTGTAGCTGACCGCGAGGGTCGTGACGGAGGCCATCATCGCCTTGTCCTGCAGCTCCCGCAATTCCGGCAGTATAACATAAATCGCCAGGGTGGCGATCAGGAAAATCGCCGAGATGATGCTGACGATGCAGATCAGCGTGGCCTTCCAGGTCTTCGACGTGATCCCGTCCATCTCGTCGAAGCATACCAGGGCGATCTCGCTGTTGCTCCGCACCGATTTCGCTGTGCAGAATCTATAATAAATAAAAATATTCATTAACGATGAAAATCGACTCTCGCGCGGAGACCACGATATTAATTGTTCATCTGTTACGGAAGATATTAATGCAGCATTGCGTAGGACTATTACGCAATAATAACTTGTCGTAATAACGCATCGAGGTGCTACGTGCTCAGGAAATTTCCGAACATCAGGATTTTCCTTGTGTTTCTCAACATCCCCGCTAATGTTTCTCTCTCTTTCGTTTCTACTTCTTTTCTCCTTCCGCGAGTACGTGTAAATTAATTCTCCGCAGATAAATATAATCGGCAGATAAGTCCGAGCGGAAGTTGCGGAAATTCTATACCTGTCAATCGGAACTTTCTCATGGGTGAGTTCCATCAGCAGCCAGGCGGTGTCGTTCTCGTATATAACAGTGTAATTGTCATGCTCGGACAGCTCGGGATCCATCAGGTAGAACGAGCCCGGACATTCTTCTTGGATACGGATCTCCGTACCGTTCGTACAATTGAACGAGTACTGCCATTTCGTGCCGCCGGGGCAGCAGGATACGTCGATTGATAAGCTCGGGGTGACCAAGCTTGCGAATAGACAGAGCCACAGCAACCAGAGGGAACCTGCAAAACGCATTACGAGAGTGTTCAGGTGCAAGGTTCGACTCAACTCTTTTGTGAGGAGACACGGCTTGCCAGAGAAGACGTGACTTAAAAAGCACTATCGTGTATTATTCTGCAGGAAATCACGTTCGAACGCGAAACCGTGACAATGAATCACTTTTGTTTTTATTAATTATCAATCAATTATCAATTATCGTCAATTTCTCAGAAACATCATAACATTCGTCAACAATAATCTTATTGTTGATATCGTTTGCAAAGGTATTTTTTTTTTCCTAACATGATCTCCTTTATGAGATATCTTCCTTCTATGATGTCGCATGTTAAATTGACGGGTACATCAAAACAACTAGAATTTTGCGTCCCTGAACGTATTCGTCGAATTCTAACGCAAAATGCGTATACCAGCCGAGTTTCCGCGTGCGTCAGACGCGAAGGTCGGCCTGATACCAAATCTATTTTTCTATCTTCGGTGATACTAGACCCGGCGTTATCACGCGACAGTCAGCTATCCGGGGGTTACGAGATTTGCAACTAGAAAATAAAACGGGATTCTTTGCAGTTGGGGGGGAAAAACCGAGCTCGCTGTGACGCGCGCGATACATCCTGCAGCCTCCGTACGCGCGTACGTCGGCGTTCTCCTCGCCAAAGCGAAAGAGAGACGCGGGTGCATCCGGGGTACGCGATAAGAGACGCAGTGGAATGAACGGTAGAAATGGTATCCGTAACCTAATTCAGCGCTAATGGCAGATGTGCGATATGAAGCGATCATTGCGAAAGGAGGGACGGCGCGCTGTTAGCTCGTTCACTGTTAACTCTTAACGGCGCTGGACCCGCGCGCACGCTGCATGCACACGTACAGCGTGTGCATGCAGGTACTCTGTCAACGACGTACCGTTTGTGTCATCGTTTTTGACATTTCACGAGCGTATCACGGTGTTGAAACACGAAGGTCAGAGAGCGCAAACTGATATAGCAAATAATTTATTCTTAAAAAAAAAATTGCGTTGAATCCTCGCGTATCGCAAAAGTTAATTGCCTGTACGAAAAAGTGTTTGAGCAAATCGTTTTTTTTTTGTTGTGTTAAATGTTAACATCATCGATAAAGTCAATCCTTTCGTGGATTAAAGAGGTCTTATTTTATTTGTCGAAATACATATGTTTTTTGAACTCTCTCTCTCTTTTGTGTGTTGTACATATGTTCATTTCTTTTTGCACAGTAATTTATTGCTATTATCATTATCAGTTAAGTAAACGCTTTATTTATTTTTGCATCTTTTATTTATAATGATATCGGCTTCTCTCGTAATCTGTCCGCCGGATAACATTATTTTTACGAAACGAAATATGATCGTTGTTACCGTATTATTTACACTTTCGCTTTCTCTCTCGGCCATTTAAGTTTTTCTGGAACGATCTCCTGACCCGCGATCGATGTGACTATCTCGTCACGATACAAACATCGAGATTGCAAACTTTGAACGTGATACCTCGTATCGTAAATCATCAACAGAGTCTACAAACCGCTATTTGCAACACGTTGCGAGCGCAATCATCAATTGAATTATTATTGTCGCGTAATTTCTCGGAAAATTCTGACGTTGCGAACAATTTTTACTTTTCAGTGAATCGCGGGATTAACCATAAATCGACTCTTACTTGCTCGTTGCTTGCCGCGGCGCGGATTTAATTAAAACAATGTAAACGCCATGTTTAATTACATACAATTGCTGTGTATATTACGTGTAAGCGAAATAAACGCTCATTACTTTTATACTGCACGTGTCGTCATTATCGCGTCGCGTTCGTAAATGCATGAGAAAAAGAGAAGTGTTACACCGACAAATTTCACGCCGCTCATTCAGTCGCTCTCGATTGTCGCGCGAACCTGCTTGCGATAAACCTTATTTGCGAGCGATTATAAAATTTATGTAGGACGAAAACGAAAATAGAGAAGCAAGCGCGTGTGCACGGCTTTTTAGCGCAAGAACGTCCGGATGTTAGATACTCGAGTTTTTAAGATAGTGGTGACTGTTTGATATCTCGTTTTAATAGAAAACGCACGAACGGAAGACGCTTGTCTGATAATCGAAGTGGCTTGCTTAATGCACCTCTGTATCTCCGCATCAAATTAGCTGAAGATTATGAAATGCCACGATAAAGCATTAATCTACATTTATTTATAGATCCGGTTGTGGCTTTTTCACAATAATTCACAGTGCGCGTTTATCTTGATATTAGTTGGTAATGACTTTAAGCGAAGTTCACGTTTTCCAAGTAGACAACGAAATATTGTTTCTCCCGCGGCACACGCAGATCTGATGTATGCATTAATATTGACTGCAAGTTGATTATCTAGTAATAATTCTCTTCGGTACAGCAGCTTCCTTGTCCGGAGAACGTTGACGATGGAGGAGTGGAATTGATTTTTTTTTCTTATCGACGATCGCGAATTTTCTTACGATGCAAATTTTCTTCGCATGCATTGTATAACGTTCAGTCCGGTTTTAATAATTGAATATAAAATTAATTGAATGTCGGTTCTACCGAGCGGGTCTTCTATCGCTGCGACAGCTGCTAAACAACATCAGCTCTATGTAGACGAGTTTGCACCGTGGAATACAAATGAGCTACGCTTTATGTAAACGAAATAAGTTTGCGATGCACACGTTGGAAATAGACGAGCTATAAACACGTTCGCGAGACGCACGTCTCTTTATGAGATACATGAAAAATATGAGAAAGAAACACGATCTGAGTTGTAAAGTGCGAGACATGAACATGAATATATTATTTTTGAATATCATGAATCTTCTTACTTGACGAAATTACTTTTCTATAATATTTTAGGGCTGGGAAGAAGAAGATTTTATAATGATGTGTGTGATCTTTTTCACATGGTAGATTTTCATAACGCGAAGCTTCGGAGAATGGAATATAACAAGAAGCTCGAAGTAGCTAATGATCTTGCCAGTGACAGTTTAATTAATTACGATCTTATTATGATCGACGTAGATAAAACCGGTTCACAGGAGGTTTGTGTGAAAACATCGCACGCAGGAGGAGAGTCGGGAGAGCACAAAGGAAGCGGACACTCAAGGGAAGCTTACGAAGCTCACCTCTGATCGATGACGTGCTCAGCTGCCCGCCGTAACTCACGTCAACATTGGACAACGACATCATATTTCCTCTCACTCTCGTTACCGCATCTCGTTTCACAAGATGTACAAGGCAAGCCTGCTACTCGCCGATAGCCGGATAGCCGAGTTGGGCGACGCCGAAGGAGCTGCTCGAAGCGACGCGAACGCGCGGTTCTCCAAGGGAAGAGTCGCTTGTTTGGCGCGACACACTCGTGCGAGGGTCAACGGACTGGCGGACTGGCACTGTGCGTTTGCCGCAGAAAGAACGAGACTCGCTGCTCTCGTGGCAAGTTCCTCAGCAGTCGGAGATCCGCGGCTTCGCCGGTGCACTTCTATCGCTATTTCCCTGTCGCGATAGCTTCCTGTTCCATGCGCTTCTTCTCCCTATCCCCTTGGGCTGCTGCGAACGTGAGACGATTGCGGCAGAACCTTATCGGCACCTCTTATCGATCGACCTTCGCTTTCACTCGAAAACTGACTGGCGGAAATTTTACGACGAAAAAAGGCAGTTCTCTGTTTGCTCAGAATGATCCAGCGGCGGGTTGCGCGAGGCGTTATCGAAATCGCGAGAAAAATCCTTGACGCATGTCATGCGAGCTTTTATAGAGAAATCGACGATGTTTTGATGATCGATACGATATGGGCCCCTGATAAGTGGCGAGTCACGTGGTGACTCCAAGCTCACGCAGTTGCGCTGCGAACGAAACTGAACGTGACGGCGAACTGTTCTCGAGAGCTTACCGGCGCGGCGGAGTACCCGGCGGCTGAGAGATAGCGCCGTCCTCTCCCACTTTTGCGTTTGGATGAACTCGTGTGGTGGTGACCAAGCCGCGTATTTTTTTTCTTTCTTCTCCTTTGCCTACTTCCTCACGAGGCACCTCCCGACTGCACCTCCTCGCCTCGGGGACCATGGGATGGAGGCCAGAACGAGATGGTCCGCCGAATCGGCAGATTTCTTTCTAGACGTATATAGCGAAAATGGGGATGCGATCGTGAAGACTAGGTGACCTTAGAGAGTGATGGGTATTCCATAAGGGAAATGTACTACGAAAAAGATAAACACCCGATAAATTAAGAAAGACGAAAAGGAGCACGGGAGTATTGCGTGTTATCGTAGTGCTCTACGAACGTCACGCTTCGTGATTATTCACGTGGCGAGCGAAACGTGTTGGAGAAGCGTACCGTTATACGCATTCAGCATCTTTTTTATACGTATAGAGATTAAAATGCTTATGACGATACCATGCATCCGTAACGCACCGCGAGCGCTATATCTTAACTATTCTCCGGAGTATTGTAGGTATTGCATATACGCGTGGCCGCGGAACGATAAAAAATTCTACTAATTACTATGATTAATTACTATCGTTGGCTGCGATTCACATTCACTTCCTTCCAAACCGCAGTTAATCGCATTCGAATGGTCGCTTGATATGTGGAACATGCGAATGAGTAACGAGCAATGTACTAATTGGCACGCTATTAGATGAACTGTTTAATCTATCAGTCCCATCGAAAATTGTTCGAAGAATATAATAGAAACTACTATAGTCACGATTATAGTAACGGAACACACCTAAAATCTATACCTAATATCTATGTCTTAACAGATATTACCAATCTTTTATGCCATTAATTATTATTATTATTATATGTAACATAATAATTTTATAAATATGACAGTAATACATTTTTTATCATTATTATTATATACATATAATAATAATATATTTCGTATGTATACAATATTCAATACGTTTCAAATGAGAACTGAAGGATATATCTTTATATCGTCTTAAATCTAGAAACGAAAAGTTAATAATAATCTTTATTTTTTGAGAGAGAGATTTAAGACAACGCGGAAAATAAGTTTCTCGGACAATGAATGAAACGTGTGCAAAATAAGTCGTTTCTTCGACGAAGGAAGGTCGAATTTCTCGGGAAGATACGCCGAAGGAGAGGAGAAAACCTCGTCCGAGAAAAACGATTAACATGCCTGCGGCCGGTCCTCTCGTCGACTATGACGTCAAAGAGCGATTATAGTAGTAGTAGTAGTAATATTTATTGATCTCTTGTGGTTACAATTCTCCACACATCATCAAATATATACTATGTACCTTATTTTAACTTATCCTAAAACAAAACGACTTATTCTATCTTAAATTAACCTATCACGCTAACGCCTCTCTCTCCTCTCTCCGGAACTTCCGTTTCCTCTTGCCTTTTCATCAACAAACATTTCTTTTTCTTTCGCGCCTCTCCCTCTTGCTCTCCATCACCTTACCTCCATTATCTCTCTCACTCTTATTTCCTCTCTCTCTCCCCCTCTCTATGTTTTTCACATACCATGCACATACTCCGCTTTCTCTCTCACTCCACACTCCTTTTTTCACCCCTTTCTGCTTTCCTCCTCATCCTTATTTATTCTTTCCTCTTTCCCTTTCTATCTCCCTCATTCCCTCTTATCCTCTTCTCCCAGTATCCTTTCTATCACTTTCTGTCAACTACTCGTTTCCTCTTTCCATCGAAGAGCGATTATAAATGCATTGATTCTGTTGTGTCTAGTTTTATCGCACACACATAGTCACGTGTCTCGATGAAAAGAAAGCCTCATATGACTCATAATAAATACTGTTGCTTGAAAAGCTGTTCATCCGATTATCTTCGTTCTTGATTGCAGCTCCTGGAAATGCTGAAATTCTACGCCCGGTTCGAGATCAGCGAGGAGACCGGCAATCCCTTGACGGATCACGACATGACAGAGTTGCATTACACTAAAATTACGTCTCTTCAGGTATACGTGGAGTTTCAGTTTCTACAAATTAAAAAATATTTTTGTATACGCGATGAATAATTTTTAAAATATACGCGAAATAATAAAGCAAATGCATAAACTTTATTTTTTAATGCGAAGATAACGAATCTCGAGTATCCAATGCGTTGTGTGATTTTTCACAGACCGGTTGTTTATCGATCCAATATCATGAGACAGGAATGTCATTTATGATTAATCCTATTATGCATGAATAATGCATGCTCTGACGTCCATAGATATATTATGTACGATAAATTCCCGAAATCTTGAGATTAGCAAGTAACATTTATAATTCTACTTAGAATGCGGTCTTTGCGAAATTCCCGGATCTGAGAAGCTTTGCATTAGCCAACGTAGCCAGTGTCGACATCAGAGATGCTTTGTACAAACATTTTGGTTCGCTCAGGTGAGTTCTGTTTATGTATAGTGAGTTATGTTTTGTTTCAATAAGATTGTTGCTACAAAAAAAAAGCATAAATTATCTCGAAAATAACATCGTGTGAAATAATTTTCCCGCGAGAAAGAATTGATTGACGTCTATTGATGTATAAAACCACGAAGCACTAGCGTTTAAAACGTCACGAATAATAATGGATTTTATTTTCAGTCAAGAAAAATTAAGGTCTATCGCGAGTTACTTGAATTTAGTACCGCCGGTGGAGCGAGAAAAGGACGAGAATTGGTACCGCCTGGACATAGAATTTTTGCGCGAATTGCTGGTGAGTGTAAAGAAAAAAAAAAAAGAAAAACGTCGAGAGACCGCAAGAGATTTTACGCCACCAAGGTCGAGCCGAATTCTGAGAGCGTGCGTTTTAATTTCAGATTTCGCGACACGAGCGTAGGCCGTCGCAGCTTGAAGAGCTGAATGAGATGCCCCTCTACCCGACCGAGGACATCATCTGGAACGAGAGCATCGTCCCGACCGAATATTTTTCTGGCGAGGGCTGTCTGGCTCTGCCAAAACTGAATCTCCAGTTTCTCACGTTGCACGATTACCTGCTACGGAACTTCAATCTATTCCGCTTGGAGTCCACATGTACGTAGGAAGCGATAAACGAAAATGAACAGCGTTGTTGTTCATCGTCGTGTCTAAATTTATGATTAAATATATCAGTCGCTAAACGCTAAATATATTGTCGCTGTTCACAGATGAGATACGACAAGACATCGAGGATGCCGTGAGCAGACTGAGTCCTTGGTACGTTATATACGGCGCGTCACATTTAGCTGCCGCCTCTTTTCGCGTAAAATAAAAGTAATCGCAATATTTCTTCCTCGCTTGCAGGCGGGCGGAGGACGGCGGTGTCTACTTCGGCGGATGGGCCAGAATGGCTCAGCCTATCACGCAATTCGCGGTGGTCGAGGTGGCCAAACCTAACGTCGGCGAGAACAGGCCGTCGAGAGTCCGTGCCGACGTGACGATAAATCTCAGCGTTCGCAAGGAGATTAAATCCGAGTGGGAGAATCTTCGTAAGCACGACGTGTGCTTTCTCATCACAGTCAAGCCGCCGAATCCTATCGGTAAGATAAGACGGAAATTAAAGAGAATAATTTGAAACCGTTTCATAAATAAGAATCGATTACTCAGAGAAAATACACCCTGCTGATATACACATACAATATATAATATAATAACGAGCGAATTAATTCTCATCTTGCTATCAAAATTGCAAACCATTTTGTTGTTATTGCAGAATGTATAAAAAATAAACTATCTCGTTTCAAAGATTTTTCCATTTTATTACCAATATAAAACATTTTATTACGGTATTAAATGATCGGTTATGTCAGCGACGTTTAATCGTTATCATACATAGTAACAGCGACGGTTTTTCTTTGACAGTAAAATTTTTTCTTAATAGTCTTATATAATAATAGTCGATAAGGTCAGAGATCCTCAGATAATTGTCGCATTTTATCGCAGGCACTAAATACAGTCATAAGCTCCCCTTCGTGCCGCAAGTGGGTCTCACTACGGTGCGAGGATGCGAAGTCGAGGGTATGCTCGACTCGAACGGCAGAGTGATAGAGGATGGCCCTGAGCCGAGGCCGATTCTGCCGGGCGATTCGCGCACCTATAGAGTATGGCTGGACTGCAATCAATACCGGATCGATATGGACAACGCTAGCCATGGCGGTGAGGATGTGTACGAGGGATTTAATATCATAATGAGGCGTAAACCTAAGGAGAATAACTTTAAAGCCGTGTTAGAGACTATAAGGGAGCTCATGAATACTGAATGCGTCGTGCCCGACTGGTTGCACGACATAATCCTCGGATACGGCGATCCGGGTGCAGCATGCTATTCTAGGTAATCTCTATCTATTATCTATCTATACATCTATACCAATAATAAAGTTGATGGCGTATAACTTGTTTGATTGCTTGGTACGGCATCGATTGTAAATGGATGAGCAAATTTGAGATTTTAATAGTAGATATATTCTTCTGTAATTATATTCTGTATATTTTTCTCCCATACTTTTCAAACAATAATTATTTATCTTGAATAATTTGTTTGAGAAGTAGATTAACATTTTTATACCTTCTGTAATAATTCGTATAATTTGTACGTATAATTAATACGTATAATTTATAATTTGCATTTGTAATAATCTAAGAAATCTATTGATCCGTAATTTTTAATTGAGTACTAAAAAATGTTTAATTCAACAGAATGCCGGATGAAATCGCGACGATAGACTTCAACGATACATTCCTCGATATCGATCACCTACGAGCCAGTTTTCCTCCGTACGAGACCAGAACGAATGCGGAGGACGAAGGAAACCTGGTGCGGCCGTTTCAGCTAACCTTCGAGGACGTTTTCGCGAAGCGCAACGACGAACCGATCAAGAAGATTATTACAGTTAAGCCGCACGTGCCGCCCAGTAGAGGTCCATACAGAGCGAACGAACCGAAAAAGTTAGTGCTCTCACTTTGTTTATTCTGTCGTAGTGTATTAATAGCATGTTATTTTTCGAACGGAGGAAAAAAACATGTTTCTACGTTGCAGAAATCAGATCCCCTTTACGCCGACGCAGGTCGAGGCTATACGAGCTGGAATGCAGCCAGGTCTGACGCTGGTCGTCGGCCCGCCCGGTACCGGCAAAACGGACGTCGCCGTGCAGATCATCTCGAATCTGTATCACAATTTTCCCAATCAGAGAACGCTGATCGTGACGCACTCGAATCAAGCGCTCAATCAGCTGTTCGAGAAGATAATGGCCCTCGATATCGACGAGCGGCACCTGCTGCGTCTCGGTCACGGAGAGGAGGCTCTGGAGACGGAGAAGGACTTCAGCCGCTATGGTAGGGTCAATTACGTACTCGCCAAGCGTTTGGATCTGCTCTTGGAAGTTCAGAGATTACAGGTATTTATTTCTCAATTAAGTTATCAATAATATCAATTTAATTGCGTTCAACTGTTACAATGTACTTTCTCTTCTCAGGAATCCCTTAATGTAAAGGGCGATGTCGCGTACACGTGCGAAACGGCGGGTTACTTCTTCATGTATCAAGTGTCCACGAGGTGGGACCGTTTTCAGGCCAGAGTCAAGCAGAGGCAGCAGACAAGCGAGAAGTCCGACTTATCTTCCATAGTCGACGAGGAGTTTCCCTTCCACAAGTTCTTCGACAACGCCCCGCAGCCGCTTTTCAAGCGGAATTCGTACGACGAAGACCTCAAGATCGCGTGCAGTTGTTTCAGGTAAGAAACGCGCGCGGTTAAACTCTCACACGCTGAAAGTAATCACACGACTGCTTCTAACGAGATATCATCTGTGCAGATACATTGAGAGGATATTCACGCAGTTGGAGGAGTTCCGCGCTTTCGAATTGCTGCGGTCGGGTCTCGACAGGTCGAAGTACCTGCTCGTGAAAGAAGCCAAGGTGATTGCTATGACCTGCACGCACGCGGCGCTCAAACGTCGCGAGCTTGTCGACATGGGCTTCAAATACGACAATATCCTCATGGAGGAGTCCGCGCAGATCTTGGAGATAGAAACTTTCATACCGTTGCTGCTACAGAATCCCCAGGACGGGTACAATCGTCTGAAACGTTGGATAATGATAGGGGATCATCATCAGCTGCCGCCGGTCATCAAGAACATGGCCTTCCAGAAGTACTCGAACATGGAGCAATCGCTGTTCGCGAGATTCGTCAGACTGGGCGTACCGACGGTCGATCTCGATGGCCAGGGTCGCGCCCGGCCCAGCATTTGCAATCTCTACAACTGGCGTTACAAGAAACTGGGCAATCTCGCGCACGTGGAGCGCAGTCCCGAGTACCTCGTGGCGAACGCCGGTTTCCTGTACGACTTCCAACTGGTGAACGTCGAGGACTTCAACGGCGTCGGCGAGAGCGAGCCTAGCGCCTACTTCTATCAGAATCTCGCTGAAGCCGAGTACTGCGTCGCGGTGTTCATGTACATGCGCCTGTTGGGATACCCGGCGGACAGGATCAGCATCCTGACCACGTATAACGGCCAGAAGCATCTGATCAGAGACGTGATAAACATCCGGTGCGCGAACAACCCTCTGATAGGCCGGCCGAACAAGGTGACGACCGTTGACAAGTACCAGGGTCAGCAAAACGACTACATCCTGCTGTCTCTGGTGAAGACGCGCGCGGTTGGTCACCTGAGGGACGCGAGGCGTCTAGTGGTGGCGATGTCACGCGCCCGTCTCGGCCTCTACGTCTTCGCTCGCGTGTCCCTCTTCAAGAATTGTTTCGAGCTGACACCGGCGTTCGATCAGTTGATGCAGAGACCGTTGAAGCTGCAATTACTGCCGCAGGAACTTTATCCCACCGAGCGACCGAACGACGCCGTACCCTCGACAGCTCCGATGGAGATCGAGGATATGCCGCACATGGCCAAATTCGTTTATGACTATTACATGGAGAAGGTCAGCGGAATGAAGGTAATTTCTATTTTTATATTCATTTACATACATCGTTACTTCGGAATAGCGATTATATCTACTGTCTCTTCGTCATTTTCAGGGGTCGCAAAAGATGTGGCAGAAGCCGGGAACCATGCAGACAATGGGCAGTCCGACGCATAAGGTTTCCGCGCATCCGGGTGCCGACGACGATACCGACGACGAAGAGGAGCTCGGCCAAGACAACGCTGAAACGAAAGAGTCCAAGGAAGAGGTGCCGCAGAACAAATACGAGCCTATAAAGAATTTGGTCGAAGATCCCCCGAGCGAGGCCGAAGACGACCGCTGAGTGGATCACGCACTGGCTGTATCTATGCGCAAGACTGATCTATGCAAGACATTAGGAGGCCGAATCGTGTCGGAAGTGGAATAGTTGATTTTATAGCATGGAAATAAAACGGTTAGTTTTTCACGGTCGCTCCAGTTTCCAAGTGTCCCGAGTTACATCGTAAACGATCAATCTATCGATTGTACATCGTTGTACTTAGCAAGAATAAGTATTTTATTATGAATATCGCTATACAGTAATGTAATATATGAAGTCTTATATATCGTATTAAGAGAAAGACTACACTTTTTACAGCTTTGTCAGTCGTACCAAAATCCATTTTCTCTCCCTGCAAAATTTTTTTCAGTCGCCTTTTTCACCGCACTTATAAGCACTTCACTTCGTGTGTACCTCACGAGAAGAGATCCATCTTCTTCTTGTCCACCGTCCCCTTCCGACGAGCCTCTAGTCTCCTCGACTTCTCCGGTTTCGTCGGTGTCGTTCTCTTCGAGTCGTTCGACGCGCTCCGTCGCACGCTCGAGGGCACGTAACTGTCGTCGAATTTCATCAGTTTACTCGGGGATTTGAAGTCGGGCTCGTACTCCTCTACGGCGGAATTGAGTCCCTTGGAATTGGGCACGTACTCCTCGAAAACGCCGTCGGGTATCACCGTGGTGGCGCGTGGCTCGTAGATCTCGTAATTCGTCTCGAGTTTCTCGATAGAATTCGGCACGTAGCTCACGTCCTCCGCGACGCGTGCGTCCTTGCCGTCGCACAGGGTCGGCGTGTACTCGTTCGACGTTACTCGCATGCTCTCCAACGCGCTCTTCCGGCTGGGCACGTACTTGAAGTCCGGGCACGATCGCTTCGTCCTCGGCGCGTCCGGGATGTACTCCTCCAGCGACTCGTTCTCCAGATCGTCGGAGAGCGTGTACGTCCGACACTTCTTCCTCTTCAGGTCCCCTTGCTCCCCCGTCGCGGGGGTCGCGCTCGGAGTCTCTGTCTTCTTCGGGGAAGTCTGCACCGAAGATTTCTCCGGCGTCTTCTTCAGTCGATCGGCTTTTGTCGTCGTTCGAAGATCGGGAGACCTCTCCTCTTTCGTCCGTTTCGCCGCGTCCTCGTGCGTTTTCACTTTGCTCCTCTTCGATGTCTCGTTACTCGTTTCTCGCTTCATCGATTTCTTCCGGGCTGGTGACACGTGCACCTTGATCGTGGGCAAGGACGACGTATCGCTTGCGCTTTCTGGATGCTCGAAAGTGTACCTGTTAAACGAGATTCATATTGTTTGTATATCAATTCATGATTGCGATAAAATAAGAACTCGTGGTCTCACAGAATATTATTTCTATCTGTAGTAAACTCAATATGTAAGAACTAGGAGAATTTTTAGAAATGCCAATACGGTCTGAAGTGGACCTTGATGTTTAATATAATGATTTTTATGTGAATCTTACAATTTTCTTACAGAATCTTACATTTCCATTTTTCTTACAGTTTGGATAAGCTGCGCGCCGAATATTTGTGGGTTTTTGAAACAGCATCTTATTAAGTCCTGTGAAGAATAACTTCTTGCGAAAAATTATTTCAGTCAGGATTTGAACCTGGGCCTAATCCTGGCTAAAATAATGTTTTTCGCAATAAGTTATTTTGTAGGACTTAATAGGATACTTATTGGCATAAAAAATTATTAAATTTCTTGTTAATTTAATTGTGATATTTTTACGTAATCCGGATTCACAGTTTGGAGCTGTGCTTCAAGACCGACAAATATTCGGTGCGTTGAACTGGAAATTGTAAGATTCACATAAAAATATTATTATTAAACACCAAGATCGCCACATTGAAATTTCTAAAAATTCTCCTAATTTGAATTTTCGTGGTCCCGATAAAATTTCATATTATAGTGTTCAACTTAAGAATCAACATTTATGAAATACTTATTTTCATAGTATCAAATGATTATGAAAATATTTTATTCAAACAATAGCGGGAGAACAATTATATAGATTATATAGATCATGAATAAAATTAAATTCCGATTAACATAATTAGCGATTAATTTAACCGACAAAATTATTTTCAACCACACAGCGAATTTTTAACTACATAATTCGTCGTCCTTAATTTTCAACACCTTCAATTCTCTCCACGTGATCTATAATCAATTTGCTAAAGAATCAATCTAAAATCATCCTACATAATTGCGCTCTTACGTGATTTCCAGCTGACGAGTCGATTTTTTCCACTCGCATCCCCGGGCCTCGCGATACGATCCATCGCCCTGGCGGCCGTTCCGCAGGACCGCTCGCTCCAATATCTTGTACAGAGCCGCCCAGTCCTCGACCTGCAGCCACTTGTTCGTGGTGACCTTCCGCTTCTCGATCTCCACCGTTCTCTCCTGCACGGTGACCACGGCGGTCGCCAGGCAATCGTCCGAGGCCTGCGGACACACGTTGCGACACGATAGCAATTCGCTCGACACAAATCGCTGCGCATCATTCGAGAAAATTAATGACGGACGCTTCGCTGACGGTACTCGCGATAATTAAAGTAATAAAACGCGCGTGAACTTGTCGTGACACTTGCACCTCTCCTGTCCGAAGCGCAAATCGTTTCCGCATCCACTTACGGCGGGCGATACTTCTCGACGGTTTGGAATAAATGGAGATATCAATTAAGATATAACTGCTGATGAACAGTAAGAAGAAAATCTCGTATCGCTCGGTCCTCGCGAACGGATGTTAATATACACACAGGCACGTTCGTGCGCGCGGCGGTGCCTGTTGCGTGCGCGCGCGCTTGACAACCAGCTGTTGACAGCTGTTGCACGCGGGGTACCTTGATCACCTCCAGATACTGGCCGTCCCGAAACATGTTCGCGCTCGGCACGCTCTCGGGATCGCTTCTCGCCGGGGGGGTTGTTGCTCGCCTCCTCTGTCACACGCGTGGTAGTCGACCCGCGACGTGGTCTCTAATCGAGGACGTATGTCACTCACGGCTGACGACAAGCTGACGTCTATACGCTACACGCTGCCTCCGCAGCGGCGCACGCTCGTCCTCGTCGGACGGCGGCGGCGGCGGCGGCGGCGGCGGCGCGGATTTGGAGCGCGAACCCGACTGCGCTCCTTTACTCACTCGCGTGAAGTCACGTCTTTTTTTATTCATACTTCTGTAGCAGCGCATCTTCACGAGAAGTTTTCCTTCGAAAACGACGGCCTTCGGTTTCCCTTCTATTCGAGTCGCGTCGAGGTGATAACAAGATTATCATCGAAGCGCTCATCGTGAACGTGTCCGTTGCATCGGTGGTACATCACATATCTTTCTGCACGGTGTAAGTTTCGTTCGAGACAAAAGAAAGACCGCCTTTTTTCTTCGCGTGAACAACTTTCTTTCGCGAACTTTAATCTCGACTGATAACACGACGGTGAGTCATTCGAGGGCATCTCGATCTTTTCTCCCTCGTCGAGCATAAAAATTTCAAGATTTAATAAGGATCACTTGATTCCGGATATTTGTGTGAAATTTCGTAGAATTTATCACCTCGTCTCCACAATGTGATTGAAAAAGAAACTGTGCGTCTTTTTGTGAAAGCGTTTTTTTTTTTTTTTTAGAAAGTACCGTCATTAATATATCGTAAATACAATATAATAGAATTAATTATAATTGAAAGAATAAAAAAACTTGAGTTTAAGTTCGTGATTAAGTCGTTCGTGTTCGTTCGTATCCGAGAAGAAAATTTCATGAATTTGGCATTCGACGAGCAATTATGTAATGAATGTAATCTGGACCGCGTTCATTGCCCGT